TGGGATCCTGGATCAGAAAAAGGAAATTAAGGGGAAAAGATGGGTTGTGAATAAAGTTTAATTAATGTATGGTACCAATGTTAATTTGCTGGTTTCTCTTGTTCCATAAATTGTTAACATTAGGGGAGGCTGAGTGAAAGGTATACATGAACTCTCTATACCAGTTTTTCAACTTTTCTGTAAGTTTAAAATTATTTCACTCAACATCACTAATCATTAGGGAAATGCAAATCAAAACCACAATTACATACCACTTCAAATCCATTAGGATGGCTATCATTAAAAAAAAAAAAAAACAGAAAATAACAAGTATTGGTGAGGATGTGGAGAAATTAGAACCCTGGTGCCTTGCTGTAATACAGTACAGCCACTATGGAAGACAGTAGTTTTTCCACTATGGAAAAAAGCGGTTCCCCCCAAAATTAAAAACAGAACTACCCTATGATCCAGCAATACTACTTCTGGGCATATACCCAAAAGGATTGAAAACAAGCACTCAAACAGGTATTTGTACACTAATGTTCACAGCAGTATTAACAACAAAAAGTGGAAGCAACCCAAGTGTTTATCAACGGATGAATCAACAAAATGGGGTACATACATACAACAGAATATTCAACATTAAAAAGCAAGGAAATTTTGATACATGCTACAACATGGATGAACCTTGAGGACATTATGCTAAGTGAAATAAGCCAGTCACATAAGGACAAATACTGTCTGACTCCACTTACGAGGTGCCTAGAATAGGCAAATTCATAGAAACTAAGTAGATTGGTGGTTGCCAGGGACTGGGAGGAAGGGGAAGTGGGGAGTTGTCTAACGGGTGTGGAGTTTCACTTCTGGGGGATGAAAGACTTCTAGAGATTGGTTGCACAACAATATGAATGTACTTAAAACTTCTGAACTATACATCTAAAAATGGTTGAGATGGTAAATTTTATGGTATATGTATTTTATCACAATTAAAAGTTATGGAGATAAATGGTGGTGATAGTTGCATAACAATGTACATGTAAATGCCACTGAACTGTATGCTTAATGGTTAAAATGGGAAACATTACAATATATATATTTTACTACAATGAAAGAAAATAACTTTTTTAAAAAAGTAAAATAATTCAGACTATAAAATTTTAAAGGAAAACGTAAACTCCAGGAGCCCTCAATATATATGTGAACCTAGAAATGTTTAAAAGTTGGGTTGTGTATATCCAAGAGATTTGAGACACACAAAATAAAGACAATACTAGAAAAAGAAAATATATTTCCAAACTCTAGGTTTTCAGAGTCACATTACAGAACAGAGTATGGATCAATCCACCTAACAGGCTGACTGCTTTTTCAATTGTTTATTGTCTATATACTCCATAACTCTCCATGCCTGGTTTCAAAAACATCAAGAGGGGCCGGCCCGTGGTCAAGTAGTTAAGTTGGTGCACTCCACTTTGTCAGCCCAGGGTTTCACGGGTTCGAATCCTGGGCGCAGACATGGCACCACTCATCAAGCCATGCTGAGGCGGCGTCACACGTGCCACAACTAGAAGGACCCACAACTAAAAATACACAACTATGTACTGGGGGGCTTTGGTGAGAAAAAGGAAAAATAAAATCTTAAAAAAAAAGTCTAGAGATATCAAATTTTTTATTTTTTTCAGATTCCTCACTCAGTATGCATTAAAAACTGTGGTCCTACTTGAGGGTATTATGTGAAGTGAAATAAGCCAGACAGAGAAAGACAAACACTGTATGATTTCACTCAGATGTGGAAGATAAACAAACACATGGACAAACAGAACAGACTAGTGGTTACCAGAGGGGAAGGGAGTTGCGGGGGAAGTGGTTTTAAGGGGTAAAAGAGCACATATATATGGTGACTGACGAACAATAATGCACAACTGAAATTTCACAATGTTGTAAATTATGATGACCTCAATAAAATAAAAATTTTTTTTAAAAACAAAAAGAAAAAATTGTGGTCCTAGATTCAGTAAAATTCCCCTGGGGAGAAAGGCTGACCTCTGCTTCGATTGCTCCCCATAGCCAAAGATGGAGATTTCCAATGAGACTGTTTGCAAATACTCTTCCTCCTTACCGTTAGACATTCCTGGTCATTAAAACCAAAAAGGGAAACTAGCAAGGAAAGGACACCAGGGTAAAACTTAATCCATACATTCATTCAATAACTAATTATCGCACTCAATAATACCTCTTTCTCCTCTGTGAAATATTCCTTCCTCCTTGACCTGACTGACTGGCTTTCATCATTTTAGACACAGCAGTGCTGTCCAATAGAAATATAATGAGAGCCATATATGTAATTTAAAATTTTGTAGTGGCCACATTAAAAAATAACAAGAAACAGCTGAAATTAAAATAACATATTTTATTTAAAACATACTCAAAATATTAGCATTTCAACATGTAAACAATATAAAAATTTTTGAGGTACTTTTCATTCTTTATTGCAGAAAGCTTTCTATCTCTGATATTTATTTCACACACTTTCATCACTTCAGTTTTACAAGTCACAAACTCTTTGTACCTCGGTTTCTTAATCTGTAAAATGGGAATACTAATATCCATTTTATCAGGCTGATACAGGGTTTAGATAATATATGCAAATTACTTGCAGCAATGCATACCCAGTAGTATATGGTCATAAATAAGTTTACCCCTTCTTCCATTAATCTCCACAACTACTGTGAGTGAAAAACAAAATTGCTATTATGTCTTACCTACAAATGAAACTGAAATGCAAGAACAACTGACACACTTGTCCCTATTAAAATAGCGAGGAAGGACGGAACCCAGCTACTCTGCTCCCAGCCCCATCTGGTCACTCGTTTACATCCATACACTACAGCTTCTAGGGATGAAGCAAGAAACAAAGCTCTTGCTCTCATGGAGCTTTTTTTTTTTTTTTTTTTTTGAGGAAGATTAGCCCTGAGCTAACATCTGCCACCAATCTGCCTCTTTTTTTGCTGAGGAAGACTGGCCCTGAGCTAACATCCGTGCCCAGGTTCCTCTACTTTATATGTGGGATGCCTGCTACAGCATGGCTTGCCAAGTGGTGCCATGTCCGCACCGGGGATCTGAACCTACGAACCCCAGGCTGCCGAAGCAGAAGGTGCGCACTTAACCGCTGCACCACCGGGCCAGCCCCGGAGCTGCTGTTTTAATGGGAAGAAAATAATAAATATGTCATGCGGTAGTGAAGCAAAATAAAGCAGACTATTGGGATGAAGACTGATGTAGAGTGAGAGTGTTGGGGCATATTATGTAGGACTCAGAGGAAAGCTTCTGTGATAAAAGTCATATTTGAGCAAAGAGGTGAAGGCAGGAAGGGAGTAAGGCATGTTGGTACCTGGAAGAAGATCATAGCAAGTATGATTGGTATGATCTAGAGACAGTAAGGAGGCTAGCTGGGCTGCAGGAATGTGAGATAGGAAGAAGAGATCAGACAGCAGGCTTGGGAAGCAGATCCTACAGTGCCCCGTGGTCCCTCGTACTTACCACACTGCTGTCCGGCTCCTCAGAGAGCCAGTGTAGTTTTTATTTTGTGACGCCGGAATTCCTTTCTAGTACTCCTCTTCTCTACCAGCCTACCATTAATTAGTAGGCTTTGTAAATGCTCCAATAATAAAATGATGTAAAATTTGCAATCGACAATGCTCCTCCAAATAGACTGCTTGTAAGAGCATCACAGCACAGGTGCTGTCAATCACGTTTCATGAATAAGGACATAGTTGAAGCCCTTTTTTTTTGTACTAAGTCTTCAATATCTGCTGTGTATATTACACTTAGGAGTATCTCAATTCAGATGCTAAATTTTCATCAGAAATATTTGATCTGTATTTAGATTTCACAAAATTTACTATTGAAAAAAAATATTCACATCCCAAGTTATTCCAGGCACACTTAAAGAGTTTTCCAATAACTGAATTGAGTATCTGTATTTAAACTTACATTAAAATTAAAAGGAAAAATTCAGTTCCTTAGTCTCACTAGCCATCTTTCAAGTGCTCAACAGTCACATGTAGCTTCATATTGGACAAAGCAGTTTTAGACACACATTACCTTTTCAAGGAATACCTTTGTGAGCATTCTAATCTGTTTCCATAAGATTTGTATTTATCTGTTCATTATACTTAACATATCACATTAGAAGTGTGTGAGGGTTTTTGTTTTCTCTGTTGAGAAAGACTGTCCCTGAGCTAACATCTGTGCCAATCTTCCTCTATTTTGTATGTGGGATGCTGGCACAGCATGGTTTGATGAGCGGTGTGTAGGTCCGCACCCAGGATCCAAACCTGCAAACTCCAGGCCACTGACATGAAGTGCACGAACTTAACCACTACACTACTGGGCCGGCCCCCAAGGGTTTCTGTATCTTTTCTTGGAATCAAACTATGGGACATTAAAGGCATCACTCTTATTCACCTCCCCGTCTCCAGAACCTGGTACCATTCCTGACCAAGAGTGGCCTGGGCAAGTTGTTACATTTAGTAAATAGATGAGTAGTGTAGTGGGTTTAATAGTGGCCTCCCAAAAAGATATGTCCAAGTCCTAACCCCCAGAACCTGTGAAGGTGACCATATTTAAAATAAGGGTCTTGGGGCTGGCCCCGTGGCCGAGTGGTTAAGTTCGCGCGCTCCGCTGCAGGCGGCCCAGTGTTTCGTTGGTTCGAATCCTGGGCGCGGACATGGCACTGCTCATGAAACCACGCTGAGGCAGCATCCCACATGCCACAACTAGAAGGACCCACAACGAAGAATATACAACTATGTACTGGGGGGCTTTGGGGAGAAAAAGGAAAAAATAAAAAATCTTAAAAAAATAAAATAAAATAAAATAAAATAAGGGTCTTTTCAGATGTAATTAAAGTAAGGATCTTGAGATGAGATCATCCTAGATTAGGGTGGGCCCTAAGTTCAATGACAGGTGTCTTTATGAGACAGAAAAAGAGAAGACAGACAGAGATACACAGAGAAAAAGGCCATGTGAAGACGGTGGCAGGGAATGAAGGGCAGCCACAAGCTATGGAACACCAAGGATTGCCAGCAGCCACCAGAAGCCAGGAGAGAGGACTGGAACGGATTCCCTCTCAGAACCTCCAGAAGGAGCCAACTCTACTGACACCTTGATGTCAGACTTCTGGCTTCTAGACCTGTGAGAGAATAAATTTTCTTTTTAGTCACCAGGTTTGGCTTAAAACCTGAAACAGAATTTATTAACAGAATCAGCAGGAAAAGGAACAAGTTTCCAATATCCAGAGACTCTCTTGAGAAAAAGTCTTCTAAAACATTTGCTTCCTACCCCTTTCTTTACCATCACTTTTGTCACGCAAATCCCCCATAAACCACTACTGCAAGACACATCTACAAGCTGTGTAGCCTTAAGTTACTAACCTTCTATTTGCCTGTTTCCTCATTTGTAAAACAGTGGTGGTGATATTACTGATGTTACACTCACCACAAGGGAGGTATTCTTAGACTATATTTCAATTGCTGTTACTTCAACATGGTCCTAAGGGGTTTAACCAATAAATCATTTTACAGTTTTATACCTTGATCTGTGATCCATTCTGAGTTAACATACAAGGTATGAGGTTTCAGCTGGGCCTCTTTTATTTGCATATGGGTATCAGCACTTATTTGTTATTCCAACACTTATTTGTTAACGACTATCCTTTTTCCACTGAATTCCTACAATTTTATCAAAATTCAATTGGCCATATTTGTGTCAATTTCTGGATTCTAGCCTGTTCCACTAATCTATCCTTTCACCAGTACCATGCTAGACTGATTCCTATACCTTTACAGTAAGTCTTTTTTTTTAAAGATTGGCACCTGAGCTAACATCTGTTGCTAATCTTTTTCCTCTTCTCCCCAAAGGCCCCAGTACACAGTTGTACGTTCTAGTTGCAGGTCCTTCTAGTTGTGCTATGTGGGCGGCCGCCTCAGCATGGCCTGATGAGTGGTTCTAGGTCCGCGCCCAGGATCCAAACCAGCAAAACCCTGGGCTGCAGAAGCGGAGCACGGGAACTAAACCACTCAGCCACGGGGCTGGCCCCTACAGTAAGTCTTAACATTCAGTAGTGTGATTCTGCCATCTTTATTCTTCTTTTTCAAAACAGTTTTGGCTATTCAGTTCTTTCTTTCATTATATACTGCTTCTCTTTATCTCTGGTAATTTTCATTGTTCAGAAGTCTACTTCATCTGATATCAATACAGCCACTTCAGGCTTCTTTTGTTTACTGTTTGCACGTTATATCCTTTTCCTTCTCTTTATCTTTAAAATGATCTATATAGACTTTCTTATAGATATTGAGTCTTTTCTTAAATACATCTAACAATCTCTGTCATTTAATTGGTATGCTTATGCCATTTATGTTTCATGCCAAAAAGAGTTAACATAGCAGGCCTGAGCCTACTGTCCTTAGAAAGGCCTGCTTACAAGGCTGGCCCTTGGCTGGCACCTGAGAACGGGCCTGATAAACAGCTGCCCACACTCATTTAAACTTTCCCTAAATGATAAGAGTGGCTTACTGTGCCTAAATCAACAAACAATGTGGTATATGCTGAACACCTGCTTTCCTTCTGGGCATCTGGAATTTCAGTGACTGCCATCAGTCACACAGAAACTCTGTGCCTCCATAACGGACCCCCGAGAAAGACCCAGGACTCCTAGTCTCTGGTGAGCTTCCCTGGTAGAGAACACTTCACACAAGTTGTTGCAACTTGTTGCTGGGGGAATTAGTGCATCCTGTGTGATTCCACTAAGAGAGACTCTGGGAAGCTCACGTCTGGCTTCCTCTGGACTTCACCCCACGCATCTTTTTTCCCTTTGCATCCTTATGCTGTAATAAATCTTGGCCACAAGTATGTCTATATCCTGAGTCCTGTGAGCTTTTCTGTAAAAAATAATTTATTTTAATTTGATAACAAAAATTTTAGTTAAATGTTTCACTTAGCAAAACACACCTAAAATGAACAGTAAAAAGAGAGCTTTAAATTAAGGCTTCACAATTTCATATAATCACAAAGACCAGAACCTTACAGTATTAGTATTATGTTTCAATTTTCAAATATAATTGCAAAATCTTAACTTACCTTAAAGGATTATAAACGAAAAAAAGAATAAAATGAAAAAAATCAATTTTTTTTAAAATTATGGATCTAACAACTTTAAACTAATTTTTCAAAAGCACATTTCTCGAATGTGTTTAGAACAACATGGTATAAAAGTTGTATTTCACATAACTGAAATTTCTTCAGTATATACATATAGTGCTAAGGTATTCTACTACAATATAAATTGAAATAAGCTAACAATGCAAGAAGTACTTTGAGGCATTACAAAACACTGAAAAGAAAATTTTTTTTAAGTACTGATTTCCCAAGTTCATGGCACGAATGTGCTACACAGCTTCCACTTCTGTAATAGCAGCAGTTCATTGTTCCTGGGTTCCCTATATAAGGTTAGACTGAAATCAGTGGAATTTTCCTATAAAACTAGCTGTATCAACTTGAGCTGTCTTGACTAATACTTTATGTGTCACTATGCTTCAATATCCACCTGCTTCAGTTCTATGGGACTTGAATACTTCAATATATCTGTGTCCCATGGTTCCTCCGTCTTTTTTCAGGGCCATTTGATATAATCTTCCCATTAAAGTTAACAAAAGATGAAATGATCACCTGATGCCCATCTTCAATTTTGGAAATTCTGCACATCTCAGCAGACAGCACCAGGGTGAGCTGGTCATCAATCCTCCATTGCCTTAAGGACCAAGCATCAGGGACACTTGACAGGGCAGGCATCAAACTAGCTTGGCTACAACATTTTATGGCTGAAAACAAAGCAAAAACAACATAATTTTTCATTTAATATATAAAACAAGGATATGTAATAAGCATCACTTTCCCCACAGTTATAGAGGAGGAAGGTAATAATGACTGAAATTATATAGAGAGACTTAAGAATACCAAATGTGTTTTAAAAGTGAGATTTAACCCCAAGTCTCTCTGATTCCAAAGCTTGTACAAATACCCTCATCCCACCTACAAGCATTATCTAATACTACTAATAGAGTGTGCACAATTGAACTATTACTAACAGTGTGCACAATTAAACAAAATCAAAACGGCACTCAGAACACATATTGCAGTAGGCCCTCTGACCAAAAAACCTAGAAAAATGACAAAAGATATTTCAAAAATATAAATGGGTACCATTGCTGGGAAATGAGAAGGGTCACCCTCAGTGGACATGGAATTTTGAGTAATTCAGTAAAGATGGAATGACCACAGAGTTAGATCCATGATCCCGAACCTATAGGACACGACAGGTGGAAAAGATGCAAGAAGCTCCAGGAACAGTCCGAGTTCTGGGCTCCCTTCTCCTTGTGTTCAGAGGGCTGGAAAGCAGCTGTGGGTCCACTCCTAGGCTGGCACAGTGAGTGTGACCAGTGAGGCAGTAAAGTGTCCTTGGTGTCTGGCAGGAGCCAGGATAATTTTGGAACCCCACATCATTATCATCTCCTGGCACCCATAACCCACACCACATCCCATCCTATTACCCATAAAGGGTGTAGATAAACAGAGTACTTAGAGTCAGGCCAGCAGAGACTCTCACACAACATATGAGGATAACCAACACCCCAAAGAGCATCACCCAACTGAAAAAACAAAGGTTAACTGAAGAAAACTAAGCCAATACAGCAAATAGGAGATTTTGAAAGATGTATGCCTAATATATGCAGAGAAATATGAGAGATTAGGACAACCTGTAAAAGAAGAAATATCCTTAGTGAAAAAGAACAATTCGTCTTGGATATTAAAAAGTGTCAAAATCTGAAAAAGAAAATGCTTACAATATTAAGGAAGTAGGAGAACAGAGGAAAATTTGTAGAGTGAAATGGTGAACTGGAAGACCTAGTCAATGATCTCAAATGTGGAGCAAAAGAAAAAAGTGTGAGCTTTAGTATTGGGAGTTTAGTATTTAGTATTGGTTATAATTTCTAATATAATTTCTAGTAACCAACTGAATGTTCTAGAAGGAGAAAAAAGAGAATAAATTGGGGGTAATACTCCAAGAATAGTAAGATAATTTCTCCAAATTGGAGGAAAATATGAGTCCATATATTTTATGTATTACTATATGACTAAAGAAGGAGGATAAATATGATTCAGATGCCTTGAACATACTGGGAATACAAATATTGTCAAGTTAAGGCACAGGTGCCTTATAATGTCATGATAAAATTTGGTAATTTGATTATAAGGAACTCCTCTGTAATAGTCTTAGTTCTAATAACCTCTTACATTTAACCAATAATACTGGTTTACTTGTTTGTGATAGGAGGCATATTTACATGGAGTGTGACTAATGATGGAAGCTGGAATTCACCTTGACAATCAAACCTTCTAATTTTTAACTCCTGTCTATGGCTTTAATAATTGTTATGATTAACAGAACCAGCAAAATAACTGCTCTAATGCCTTGTGGTCATAAGCAACCATCTGCTTTATCCTTATAACAAATTTTGGTTAAAATAAAAAATGAAGAATATATCACAATTTTTTAAACCACCCTTAGAAAATCAAAATTTTTGACAGTTCTAGAAAGGAAGCAGAATCACATCAGCAACAATGTTTGCAAGAATACAAGACAGCAGAGAGTTCCACACACTAAGGGAATATAATTTTTATCCTAAAATTCTCAATTAGAAAATAAATTAACCAATAAGGCCTAAATGCAGATTTATTTTGATCCATGAATACTATTTTTAAGAATTATTAGAGGATATAATCTATCAAAATAAAAAACTGATTGTAAAAGGAAAATATGATGCAAATAAACAATAGTTATAGAAGAAAAGTATACAACGTATTGCTAAGTCTAAATTAATATAGATTTTTAAAAATAAAATAAAATTCTAAAATTAAGATTGTAAATAATTTCCATATGGGATATACTGAATAGCAGGAGGCAGGATATGTGCATGCATAAACTATGAGCTAGCAATCCTGCTTGTAAGTGAAATGTGGGAAGGCACATTATAGTGGTAGATGAGCAGGCATCAGTAAGCAGCAGTCTGAATGGAATAACTATCACATACCAACATGTTTAGATGTGAAAATATTGTGCTGGGGGACAAATGAACAAATTCACCAGCAGGTTAGTTATGTGCATTGCAAATACATGCTCAGAAAACAAGTTATATACATAATTTGTATGTATATATATGCATATAATACATATATATACATAATATGTATATACAAATTATATACATAAATTCACATACAAATAAAAGGACATACATAATACAAATTAGAATTGTTGCCATGAGGTCAGAGAACGGAAATAGGAAATGGGGATTAAATGGAATAAACACGAGGCCAGCCCAGTGGTACAGTGGTTAAGTTCACATGTTCTGCTTCGGCGGCCCAGGGTTCGCCAGTTTGGATCCTGGGTGCAGACATGGCACCACTTGGCAAGCCATGCTGTGATAGGCATCCCACATATAAAGTAGAGGAAGATGGGCACAGATGTTAGCTCAGGGCCAGTCTTCCTCAGCAAAAAGAGGGGCATTGGCAGCAGATGTTAGCTCAGGGCTAATCTTTCTCAAAAAAAAAAAAAATCAAAAAAATAAAATTTAAAAAAAGGGAATAAATGCATAAATATAACAAAATGGACCACAGAGTGTTATAAAACTAAGAAAAAAATATTCATTCACCATTCTGTACTCCAGTCCAAATTTTAAAACAGATAAATAACAAAAAGATTTACGTAAAAAATAAAAACAAAATACAGAGGACTTCCACTCCTAGGCAAGATGGAGTAAGTATGAGGGACCAGATTAACCTTCCCACCTAAAATGATCAAAAAAATTGACAAAACATAGGGAAAACAATTTTCCAAGACAATGGACATCAAACAACAAAGGAGAGAAAGAAAACAAATGAGATGAGCCCTAAAATTTTTTTCTTTTTCCTCCCCAAAGCCTCAGTACATGTTGTATATACTAGTTGTAAGTCGTTCCAGTTCTTCTATTAGAGCTGCTACCACAGCATGGCAACTGACCCATGGGTGGTGTGGTTCTATGACCAGGAAGCAAACCCGGGCCGCCAAAGTGCTGAGCACCAACCTTTAACCACTAGGCTATGAGGGCTGAAATGAGTCCTACAATTGCCCCAACTTACTGCCTTGAGAAGTTTTTAGACTGTGTTGCTAGGAGAAAAAACTGAGGCAGAGTCTGGTGGACCCCCTCAGTTGAAGAGAGAGATCTGAGAGTCCAGGGAGACCAAGGCAGCTAGCGTTCACAGAACAGACTACCAGAGAGGAGAGAGCTACAAGGAGAGAAAACTCCAGAGATCTGCAGAGGTTCCCCCTTGAGCAACTGGCAGAGCGCTGATCAGCATGTCTATGTAAGGAAACTACCCAGGTCTGGGGAAAGAACCATTCAAAAGCATTTGAGGGAACAGTGACTAGTGCTCACCCAGGGCCTTGAATAGTGCCTGTCCCAAGGTAGCAGACAGGAAAACTTCATAATTCATGGCCCATTGGGTAGAGTACTCAGGAAGATCTTGCCTCAGTAGTAGGGAATAACTAACGCTAGACTGAGCCCTGCCTTGGACCTGCCTAACAAATCTCACAAAAATGAATACCAAAAACAATCAAACTGTTTTCAAGTAACTTAACTATATCCCAGAATAAAGCTCAAAAAGATTTACAGGAATACAAAATATCCAGCACTCAGCAAAGTAAAATTCACAGTGCCTAATATCCAATAAAAGATTACCAAGCACGAAAACAGGCAAGAAAATATGATCTATAACGGAGAGAATAATGAATGAATTGAAACTGACTCACAACTGACACAGATCTAAGAATTAGCAGAAAAGGACTTAAGCAGAATTACTATAACTGTACTCTATGTGTTCAAAAAGTTAAGTTCAGGCATGAAAGATATAAAAACACCAAGTCAAACTTTTAGAAATAAAAACTATAATGTCTGAGATGAAAAATACATTAGATGGAATGAAGAACAGATCAGACATTGCAGAAGAAAAGATTAGTGAACTTAAAGACAATGAAGTTCATTTCTCAACCCGCAAAATGGAAAGAACATCTGTGAGCTGTGCGATGACTTTAAGCAGACTAATAGATAGACAACTGGAGGAGGGGACAGAAAAAACATCTGAAGAAATGATGGCCTAAAACTTTCCACACTTACAAAGAACTACAAACCTACAGTTCTAAGAAGCTCAACAAACCCTAAACAAAAGAAACATGAAGAAAACTATACCAAAGAATACCATAATCAAATTGTTCAAGACAAATGATTAAAAAAAAGGTTGGGGCCGGCCCCATGGCTGAGTGGTTAAGTTGGCGCACTCTACTTTGGCGGCCAAGGGTTTCACTTGTTAGGATCCTGGGCCGGGACATGGCACCGCTCACCAGGCCATGCTGAGGCAGCATCCCACATAACACAACCAGCGGCACTCACAACTAGAATCTACAACTAAGTACTGGGGGGCTTTGGGGAGAAGAAGAAGGGAAAAAAAAAGATTGGGAACAGATGTTAGCTCGGATGCCAATCTTTAAAAAAAAAAATTAGGGGCTGGCCTGGTGGCACAGTGGTTAAGTGCACACATTCCGCTTTGGCGGCCCAGGGTTTGCCGGTTTGGATTCTGGGTACAGACATGGCACCTCTTGGCAAGCCATGCTGTGGCAGGCGTCCCACATAATAAAGTGGAGGAAGATGGGCACGAATGTTAGCTCAGGGCCAGTCTTCCTCAGCAAAAAGAGGAGGATTGGCGGCAGATGTTAGCTCAGGGCTAA